TGCATAAGGGGTGGCGATAAAAACCGTGAGAGCGGGCAGCTATAGCCCTACCTGAAGGCCAGAGCGCAGATACACGACAGTTCGACCATCGATTTCGATGATCTCCACCGTGTGTCCCACAGACTGCAGTATGGGAGCAGGGACGGTGACTTACGCAGGGGTTTATAGTGCCAGTAGACTTGCGTAGCATCTACCTACACTGTGTTGAGACAAAGAGGAAAGCTCAACTTGTCGTGACAAGGTCGTTGTGCCTTTATGGCTGAAGGATTGGTGTCCTGCAACCGAGAAGAAGCTCTGATAAGCTCTAAGGTCTCTATTTGTGATCCCAGATATGAGAAGGAATGCGAAATAAAATATGAAGAGTATGTAGGCTAAAACAATTGGTGAGGACTTGCATGTCCAAACGCCGGTCGACCATCAGAGCGAGCTCTATAGCCAAAAAGCAACTAGAAGCGGACACCAAAATTCGCTGCATATCAGCTGGAAGATTGCCTGTGTTCGCTGAGGACCAGCCAACGGAACAGCATTTATTTGGTTATAAGGACTAATAAAAGAGTCCACAAATGATTACTTAAGACAGTATGCATACTAAAAACACTGTCTTAACAAAGAACGCACAACTAGCATCAAGAAAAGCGTCAGGATAATTCGTATGCGCATGATAGTATCAGTCCTCGAATCGTTCGCTACGTGCAGAATCCAATAAAGTGTGGGTGATTGGCACCGGTGCGAAGGCTAAGACAATGGGGCCAAATTGCCGTTCATTGTCAGCATGTCGGTAGTCTCCGCTCGAGCCGGGTGATCTGTGGAGGCAGTCGTACGCACCGTCGCTTACGAAACCCGTCAAAGAGGCGGCTTGCGTCTGCGGCGTCAAGAGAGATCAAGCAGTAATGATCGGGGCACAAAGGTCCACCTCAATTTAGTCTGGCAACACACCCAGCCAGAGATATCGAGCTGTCAATGCGTAAAATTAGATTTTTACACTGGATGCCTCGAGGTTCGTTCGGCTCAACTGCAGAAAACTGGAAAGAATATAAAAGTTGGTCCTAGTTATGTACGCTGTCTATGGTGTTACCTCTCAAATGGCGAGTGCGGATCCTGCTAAACTGCAAATTACTACCAGCCCGTTCGCTAAACGTAACCCTAAACAATAGAATGATCATACATATAGTTCACTAATTTCCCTGTATTTGAGAGGAAGTAAGCACGAGCGTTTAAACTTCCGAATACTATACTGCTAATTCGTCGACGATTGCAGCCAGTGGCCCATCTGATAATCCTCTTTAGTAAGCGTAAAGGGTTTGATTAGTCTTATCTCCACTATCGCATAACACCACTGAACATTTGTGGCATTTTCCAGATCATTAAAACGGCTGGATATCACAATACCACAGCACACAACCGCGTAATACAGGCCTGCCACTTGGCGGTGATAAAGAGCTGCCTGAGCCGTTTTGAAAATGGGCGATCGCCTACTGCCGAATACAGAATTTCGATATGTGGGGCTTCTGAGATCACGTTTTTTGCATGCCGTTCTTCACACGTGGACCGGGAAGGGCAAAGGCAAAACCCCAGTAGAGAGAAGCCTGAGACATTTTCCTTCCATTCTGCGGCTGATGCTGCCATCCATTCCACGCTAGCTGGACTCACTGTTCTTTTGTGACCTCTGGAAGTGTTTTCATGGCAACATTTCCTCACACGGACATCAGTAATACTGTTCGTTAGTTTTGGGCACTGATGCTTATGACTGCATCAAGTCTTAGGAGGCACCGACTTACAGGCCTTTCTAGCGATTAGGGATACCATGGGACATCATGCCACTGGTTGGATAGCAGCCGATCCTCAACGTTTCGATGGATGGAGCTGACAACTGCAGCGTCAATTTCCGACAGCCTACTTTGTACACTAAACCCATGACTGACAGCATAGTACTTGACGCCGCAGGAGTTAAGATGGAGCACTTTCTTCGTTAACATGAGTTATTTGGGATAAAATGACTGGCCCTTTCTGCGCTCCAGTTGGGTGGCCATTCTCTGGAATATGATCACCTCGGTCAGAAGCTACTTGAGGACAATCCATAACCTAAATACATCCTTCAACCTGAGCTTGAGGCTCTAGTGAGCGCGGGAGCGCGTAAACCCATGGTACAAATGTCGTGTTTAAGTCAAAGATACATGAAAAATGGGGAATTACTGTTTGCAAAAAAGGCAGAAAAAGAGTCAGTCTCCATTCTCTGTCAGGCGTAAATAGATCTTTCATGTGAAGCCGCGATTGTAGTAGCATATTTATTTTTTAAAACTCAATCTTCCCAGAGCTGCCAATAGCTTTAAATAACCCAATTCAGGCCACCATCAATGTTGGAGAAATAAAGACGCAACCATATCGGTCGTCCAGCTAACACTGAATACACTTTCTGGAATTAACAAAAGAATAGTCACTAGTTAAGTTGTAATATCACCTTCGATATGCCGAAGGCGACATCACAACTGCGAGGCCTCCGTATCTTCAGCGAGCCCGTACAATTGAAAATAGGCTTCAGGTGTACGCCGACTTCGCGAAATTCCTGACGTCCTCTCGGATGAACAACGTTCGGACATTGGACGGAGCTGAACTTCCGGCGTTCTATCTGTTTTACTACGCACGAATTCGCAAGACTTATTGGTCTCAGTCTTCAAATCGTTCATAGTGGTTTGTAGTTTCTGCTCTAGTACTTCACACAGCTCCGTGGAGAAGTGCTGATGCACCTTCACATAGAAATTCGACTTCTCAAGATCACTGATGCGGCTTCACAAGCGGGGATAATGACAACACTGTCATTCACCTCAATCCACATCTTTAAGTGCGTTCTAATCCACAAGTAAAAGATTCGAACAAACATCCTGTTAGCTTATTAAAGTCGGAGCATTTGCAGCGAGTGCATCACACTTTGATTAACACCGTTAGAGGATTTGAGGGGGAAGGAGCGGTGCTGAAGCTTAGAACCTCGGCCTGGACATTCGTGCCGTCGGCGAGAATCCCTACAAATTTATGATATCGTTATTCGTACTTGTTTGATTGGCTGGTTAATACGTTATAAAGTTTTTTGCCAGCTTCCTAGGAATCTTGCGAAACTGTGCTTGTTTGTTAAAACGGTATGAGAGGAAAATGAAACGTATTTAAAAGTCGTAATTTCACAAGAAAATTTCTACTATCTCAGAAGCCGGCCGATACGCATGATCCAAAACACCCAAGTAAACGTGAACGACCCTAAGTTAGAGGAAAGCGCAAACAATCTTTGACAGTTTTTTAGAAATAGCAGTTATTCAAAGAGCAGTAGTACCGGAAGTGCGAAAATGCAAACCAGTGAATTAGATTAATTTATGGTAGCAAATAATGCAGGTCCATGCGAATAACTTAATAGGCAAGACAGTGTAAGCATAGTAGGGTCTAAGCAATCCTTCTAGATGATACTTGGGCTGACTTCCTCCAAGAACCAATGCGGTACGCGGTATGACATCCATCGGCTGGTCTATCACTGAAATTTCTCCGCAATGATGCGTAGGACCGGAAGTCAGGAAGTTTACGTGGAGATCCTACTGAAGCTGATGGATTTCGGCCGAAATATTCATAGCAACTTTTGGACCGAGCGTAGAGTTGTGTCACGAACGCCTTACTCCAAGTTGACATTAATTTCTACGGAGACAACAAATCTGGAATCTCAAAACTGGAGTACAAGCCAGAATGCGCAAGAGGAACGTAGTGGAGCCTGCTTATCACCTAAACTCTTCGCGGCGACAGAAAACTGACGAAACACATGTCTGAACCTTTAGCTTGAACCTATGCTGTCAGTATGATGAGTCACACAGTTGCTGATGGCTTTTATGTATGCAGAATTCATGACGTCCGACTTTCTGCAGGCGGCTGCTTGGATTACATTGGCAATGTCACATAAGTGAGGTTCAATCGCACAAAAATGGACATCTACGACGAACACGCCTACTGACTCAATAAAAAACGTCTCTAGCCAGTCTCACAAAGACCTTGCCCTTAACCTCTAGCACTGGTGGAGACGGTTCTGGTTGGTAAGGTGGGCCTGGTGAATGCTAGCAGGGGCCATAGCGCTAGTCCTCCAATCGGTGTATGCACCGGTGTCCGACTAAGCCAGGAAGGTCACCTTTTAGCAGACTGCATCTTCGCATATCGGCTACCTCGGTGGACGTCGATGTTAGGCCGGTGGAGTTTGTAGCAGACGCCACAGTGATGCAATAGTTAGGAGAGCGGCGTGCGTGGTTAGAAGTCAAGCAGTTGCTACATCGTACGTCCCACACGTGCCAGCCGCCGAGGCCACATTGGCAGGCAAATCGTTTCTGTCTACCCTAATTGGTGAGTTCCGTTGCCTCAGTGACTAGTCGTGGCAGTAGCATGGCCGAGTGATACAGTGTGTCCTAGCAGCAGATATGAACATGTCTGACCACAGCAAACTGAAAAATGCGGCCACAATGCCGGCAAGTGTGCATGGTACTTCCAACGAGGCTCTTTTGCTGGCGTAATTGAAACAATGCCTTCCAGATTCAGTAGGTTAGGCGGGTTGAAAATGAGATCAGACATAACGACTTATTGGGTGTCTATTTTTGCCTCTCCTTTATTGGTTACTAGCAAAATCAGTCACATCCCACTCTAGCATATGCAGAACAGAGGCCAGGCCTAAGGTCTAGTGCAACGGCGCTACTCCGTATTGGAGCTTTGAAGTGAAGTCAAGAAAGTAACCCATTAAATACAAAGATGATACACACAATCGAGGCAAGGTTAATTACTTGCCTAAGTGCTTAGGCCGTACCGAAGCAAACTGACTTAGAGCCTTTACACAGCCTCGGAACCAGGACAGGAACATAAAGAGGAGATTGAATGCTGAAAAAGTGAGATAATTGGCGGCAGCGAGGCTGCCTTATGCAAAAAAGGTATGATGAAAGTAGAGGTTTAATAAGGTATATCACGAGAGAGTAAACGGAACAAGATCAGGGCTAGTGTGAGTGTCCAAAGGATATGAGCACGGGAATACAGCTGCCCACAACGAAGGCTAGTGTCTCGAGGGGCTTGACGGTATGCCCCATGGAAGGCGACCGTGAGTTTGCGGCTGGACAGGAGGGCGAGGACTGACCGGCAGAAGAGGCGGCAGCAGACTCGGAGGCCAGCTGGGGCAGGATATGCGCGGCAGCAACGTAAAGAAAGGTGCCACCGGAAACCAAGAGGACGAAGCCAGTGCCTGTAGTGGAAGGCACCATGGTCGCGGCGACGGTCCCCGATGCAGACTGGTGTAAAAGAGAAATGGGAAACAAACTGTAATATTGAAAACCGGAGAGAGAAATAGGAATGTCTGCTTTCCAGTGGAATAGCTTCAGTAGCCACCCTTTTTGTGAAGCGCCTGTTAAAATTAAGAAAACCCGGAGGGTTTTTGGCAACTGCCACCGCTTTTTCTATTGGTCATAAGGAACAATTGTTAGATCGCCGCAAGCGCGGAGGTCAACTAATGTCCCGAGTAAGTAGTAATTACATGAGCGCGAATGGGCTTGTGGTGAGGCAATTACGTCTCATTTGCTCTTCACGCCTACTGAGCGCCACTGGCAAGCTAATACGAGGACAACTGCTGATGGACGCAATGGCTGATGGTGCTGAACGACCCGTCTACGCGTGCCACGAACGAGCCAGACCTCAAAGTGAGGAGGTCTCAGATCTCACATGAGTTAGCGCCATAGAGAGCACGTTGAGGAGTCCTCACAGGCTGGCCGTCAGTCCTGAGTAGGATTAAGTTTTACCGTCAGTTGGTAACCCAACAAACAACAACTCTTAGCACGCACGGCGTTTGCACAGCGCGTTTAGTTGTTAATAAAATGGGCGCTAGATTCGAACTAAACATGCCACCCTACCTTCTTTCCCATATCCAACCGGCTAGTCCGAGTCAGGCTGACTAGAGAAACGACTGAATGCAGTGGCTGACGTGGCATGAATTCGTCATCTAATGCGTGCGACACACGAGCTCGCATATCGCCTACGTGGGCGCCACAAATGCCAGAAAAAGAAAAAGCAGTTACGGTCCGACTCCCCTTCCAAAGGAGACCCGTCAGTTCGCAACCCTCGGGGAGCCGATGACCTCCAGGGCGTCGTGACAGCTTCAAGAACATCAAGTTTATCATACTGCGGAGTACTCTGAATTGTCAGCAGCAAGAGTACGTAGGCATGATTCTCATTCTCTTGCCTCTCCCCGGCATCGGTGGTCTGTTCGAGTCCATCGGCTGACTGGCGGTGAGATTTGTCGTGATTACTAACAACGTGAAATATGCACTCACGATAGTAGCTGTGAACTCACGCAGACCCGGCGCAGCCGGACTAACACGCGCCGTGAGCCAATGCGGCTCCGTTTTGGTCTAGGGCAATAGCGATGCAGCCCGTCTGGTGCTTAAAGTGACGGGGATGCAGGTGAACCACGAATGTGGACACGGACTGACTCTAATCGGAAAGGTGGGGGCAGCTCGGATCCCAACTGAGTGGGCGTGCCATAAAGGCCATATTAAGAGGGGGTCATTGCAGTCTGACTCTAGTCCTGAGAGGAGAAGGAGGAGAGGAAGGCCTTCTTAGCATCCTGGTTTACAAAGTCATAAAAGGTGAGTTGTTGACTTTTTACTATTTAGACTATACGCGGGCATAGCGGTTGTCCAAGACACGAATCTCGGGTGGCAATCTTACAGTTTTGATTGTACAAATTCATAACGTATACAAAACGACTTGCGAGACCCCTCAGTCCGGCCATATCTAACGCCGTCGACGGACAGAGAAAGCCTACGCGATACTTCAGCTCCCACTAGAAGTCTCCGAACTGAGACAGTAGGTATTTTCAATATTTTTAAAGTACATCAGATACATCCAAAGAACCAACTGATTTAGCGACGGTTACTAGACCTTCTGAATTTTTTTGACAGACGTAAAAATTTGTGGGAGTAAATTCATACACTTCAAAGCTATATACGCGCAACTTCGACGGCACCTTATAATTAAGCAATACGACACTTCAATCGTCGTCGTCGACGATGTCCACCGTGTGCACCACAACAGGTTGAGAGCAGGGACGGTGACTTGTGCATGAATTAGTTTATAGTGATAGTAGACTTGTGCAGCACTTACCGTCCTCCTTCTTCTTCCCCCCCCCCACACTGGAGCCCATGTCAAGACGGAGTCAAGAACACCGGAGACGGGAGAGGACGCAGGTGGCTGGAACGGAGTAAACCCGCACCTAGGCGTACCACCACACCCCATGGTCCGCAAGGTACACTGACAAGGATTTTAAAGTACAGAAAAAAATAGGGAGGGGGGAGGCAGCGCGGAACCTAACCGCCTCCCCTCTCCTCCCTTGTCAAGCGTATAGCTTTTGCTTGGGGAGGCGCAAGCGCGCTCGGTATCACACCCAGTCCTGCCCGTCATGGCGCTTACTACAATTTTGCAAACTTCATTATGTAATAATACTTTGCATACTGGCATTCACTTGCGCATAACCACTGGCACTGGTCCTCACTTTCCGACTGCCTCGCGACAGCCTCAGTTGCCGTCTCCCACCCTTTCCTTGTTCTGTGATACTTCTACCATCCGCTTTCGCCATTCCGTCTTCCCCACTGGTTGCCACCCGCTTCCCATCTGCTCCTCCCGCCAATCAGACGTCTGCGCACATTCTTCCACCTCTTCGCACTAGTTCCAAGTTATTTTTAAACTTGGCGCGGCTCATTTTTGTTTCTTATCTACTCGGTCTGAACAAAATTCGCTTTTATTATAAACTTCGGCTTTCTAACGATTTGAGCTGACTTTTACGACTCTTTGGTTAGCCTAGCGTTTAAAACCGCCTTATATCAGCATCCCCGAATTGGATTTGGCCCGGGTTTGGTTTTGAATTACACGTTCACGTAATGCAGTCGCGTCCTTCGGACTTTTCAGAGTTTATTGGGTTACCTATTCCCTCTGATGTGTTCAGCTAATCACTAGGCTAAACAGGACTCTCTTACTTGAATTGGCTGCCTACCACATGCTGTATAATGCCTGAATTCTTCTCATCAGGCGTCTTGAGCAGACTTGCGCTTGTCTCCTCGTCGATTCTCCTATAAAACGCGCGCCAAACTTCGTTTGCCCGCTTTCTCGATCTTTACTCTCGCGAGACACGCATAAATAGTGAGATTTTACCTCACCTGCCCTCAATTACATGCGGACTTAATCCCCCCTCCCCCCCAATAAGAAGTTGACGCACATCCGTTACACTGTGCTCGGACTATGCAAGGCATCTGTCTTGTTCATTGGGCTTGATACACCACAGACTGGTAGCAGAACGGATATATACTAAAACCTTGGCAAGAAAGCCTCTCGCTGAACACCTATTCTACAGCACCAAGATGCGAATGCGTCAGATAGTAGGAACGCTCTAACCGCGGTATCAACAAGGGTCGGTAGTGATTGGCGAGGAAGTCATTGTTCACGCAAAGAAAAGTACCAAACCCGACTAACGTTGAGCGATTTTAGGGGTGGAAAGGGGGACAATATCACATTCCTGAAGAGTTGGAGCCCTCCAACGCCCAACTTAAGTGGAAAAAGTGGAGCCAGCTGTTCTTGTCAAAGTGGTTTCGGTCAAAACCGCCGGCTCGTTGCTATTCTTTTTGAAACTCGGAGGTCCCTTCCCAAAAACCCATCAATAGGTAAATAGGAGAACAAAGGGTTGCTAGCTAAGAGTGCAACAGGCCAGACGCAGACAGCTATTTCACGGTCGTTACCGATCATCAGTACGTCATAGGCCTTATGAAGTGAGGTATATAAGCATGTCAAGTAGGCGTTTGGCATTGTTGTGATCAGGATCTCACTCGATCCCACAACAGTGGGCGTCAAACGCCTACTTGACATGCTTATATACCGTAATTCATAAGGCCTATGGCGTACTGATGATCGGTAACGACCGTGAAACAGCTGTCTGCGTCTGGCCTGTTGAACTCTTAGCGAGCTGCCTATGTATTAGATGTGGTATGTGCCCTATGACACAGCGTTTGTTGTCGCCAGTAGCAAGCTGGCGAGCGGACAGAATGGGATCGAGTGAGATCATAACCACAACAGTGAGTGTCAAATGCCTACTTGATATGAACAAAGGGTTTTTGGCCCAGGAATCCCATCAGCTTGTTGGTGGAAAATGGGGACTTTTGGGTTCCAGTCCGTTGTTCTGTGCTCGATGACATAAGCAAATTGTGATTTCAGGGGAAAATTGAAACATAAGTAGCGAACATTTGGGAGCAACATACCTCTGCGTGAGCCTCCAGGTAGCCATGAAGGAGTAGAGACAGATAAGTTCCAATCGCTCCCAACGGTGAGGCCAGAGCAAAAATGAAGAGGTAGGTTCGTACCCGATTTCGCGGAAGTCCCTCATGTACGAGAAACGAGACAAAACCAAAAGCCGCGGGGGCCTACAAGGATGAGACGGGAAAGATCGATTTTATCAGTGCGAAAGGGTGGATAGGTAGGTATCCTTGCCTTCTAAACATGACACACGCGTCGAAAAGTATGCTCAACCTTGTTCTTAGACAGTTGGAGTGAGATAAAAAGGGTATGCAGCGAGATAGGCAAAAAGTGCCGCTGACCAGCCTCTATTCCAGGCGACTAGGAAGAATTATCTTTCGTGTTCACTGTCGAGCTCTAAAATTACTAATAAATGCATTCCGAAGAGAAAAATGCGCAGGACCCCTCCTACTGCCCCTGTTAATTTACACGCAGTCTAAAAGACCCTTACTGGACGATTAAAGGAATGGCTTCGCACCGGGAAAAGAGTAACTCCTATTTTTTTCATTAGGACGACTTTTGAAAGTACATTTCTGTTTGTTATTATCTGAGTGCATCCCGAACTCCAGCGACGACTGACAGGCAGTCTGATGGCTATTTCTCCAGTGCTCTAAGTCTTACTTTTGGAACATATGAGTCAAAAATGGGTTACGGCTCATGTACACTGTACAAATACACACCTGACATCAGCTGCGCAGTATCTGATTTGCGGTCGTCACTGGAGTCCGGTTGGAAGTGACTACGCAACACTTCATGTTATAAACCATTTCACACGATCCACAACCAAAATTGAAGCCGATGTTCACCAACGACGACGACGACGACGACGACGACGGAGTAACTATGTTAGGCCGGAAGTGGGTAACACACCTTCGAACCCAGAGAACAGGTAGGAAACTTGCCTTGTTTAAGTTCCGAGGAAATTAATGCGCGAACTTGCAGTAACTCTTTCGAAACAGACCTTTTCAGGCACGGTCCGAAATTTAATATGAATATTTGAGCTGAAATCTATCAGCTACTGCGGAATAACCGCTTAATATTGACAAACCGGGTAAGAAACTGCCAAGGTACCTCAAAAACTATGGGCTAACTGGCGACTGGGCATTGAAAAGCTCTGCATAACAGAATAGGAGGGCGTGGTGTAATTTGGTGGAAGACACAGCCAAATGTGTTGTTGTATGCGTCCAACGGCGTACCGTGAAGGCGTCGTCTTCAGTTCCCTTGATTGGGGCGTGTCAACAGAAGCCGATGGGACCGATACTGAATAAGCCTTCATCGTTAGAACTCAATCCACACGCAAGTCTACAGTCCTGGAGACAATCCTCTTCAAGAGGAAGAGGCAGCGGCTCATCAAAACAAAGAAACGCGGCGAAGGGCTCCTCAAAGCACCACGACCAAGACGGCATAGATGGATTTAACGCTATGCGACGATACTACGTGTAAGCACTTAGAAACCCAATTACCAACTCTTTTGACCTTACAGAGTTCCCCAATCGCAACTAAAAAGCACCTGCACTTTACCAAAGGTTCGGTGGGCCCTTATGACGGGGAAAATGCAACCGATGGAAAGCATATAAATGATTCTGACAGTTTTCTGCGACTCAGTGCAGTGCATCAAGGGCCCAAACGGGGTGTGACAACGCGAACTTTGTCAGGAGACTAGCAGGCAGCGCACACGTGTCAGCCTTGCGCAGTTTTCTGACAGACGAGTACATCTCACGAGCATTTGGCATTGTCATAAGTCGATAAATACCAAACGGAAGGTTGCACTGCACCGCACCACAACTGCCAACAGCAGAAAAAAGTTACGCACCAAAAGGTTTACTTATGGAGATAGAGAACGAAACCAGGAGGAAGCAAAAATTAGAAAGTGTTTGGGTGCAAGTCTGCCCGCTCCAATTGAGTCGCGTGTTGTCTTTATTCGGGTTATTGTATAAAACGTCCACCAAGAAATGAGAGGGCATAAGAATGGAGGGCGCAGACGTCGGGGACTATTAACTGCTCAAAAGAATTAAACGAAAGACTGTGACAGGATAGGTCTCTCTGGTTTTCGGTTAGAAGCATGACAAATTTTTCGGTATGCTATGGCAGCTGCGTTATCGCAATAATGCCGTACCACGATTCCTTCTCTACAGCCCTCAATGCTCCCCAAAGTTCTTGAGGTTTGTCTTAATAGAAAGGTGTCCACCGAAACACAAGATTTATATTTCTGGTTGCGGCTTGTACTCGGGTCACGGGTACATTTGTCTATTGTCGAGTAAGCGGAGTGTAGGGGTGTCCAGTTGTGGGTCCACGTGACGATCGTAGTAGGTCGCTCAGTTGCTAGCATCCATTAACGAGCACCCAACTCTCACATGCGGCGCGACCGACGGGCCAGATCAGGCGAGGGTATACATGTGTACATCTCCGCACACGGTAACTCGGCTCCGCTGGCCAGATGGATCACCACCTCGGCATCTCCGAGATGAGGCTCCGTCTGTAACACAGTAGGAGGCCACAAGTGAGCTCCCCAAGTAAGCGAACATTGTCTGTTGGACTGCTATTCCTCTGCTTGTTTGTGTTTGTCCTTGTTGAAAGCTAACTGCCGCTCCGTTGAATTCCCTCTGTTGCGTTTGCTTTTTGACGTTTTTGCCTGCTTGTTCGTGTCCGTCCTAACTGAAGGCTAAATGCCGTTCTGTTGAATTTGTCAGTTCACTGTTCATATTTCAGCAGCCAGTTAGCTTAGAGAGGGACAAGAGAGCTATGCTTCCCATCTCTCCACACTTCCCCCATCATCTCCCCCCCCCACCTGTCAAGCGACAGCGATCTCGTAGGCGGCCAGGGCTAGCTCGGGTCGATCTCCCACTAAACCAAAGTCGTGACCCAATGTGGAGTTCGGCAGCCGTCTGGGACAACTCAGCAATCCTATTTAGAGAGAGCATTGCTTACCCCCACCCCGGGAGGGGAAAGGGGCTAGGAAAGGTGCCCTAAACAAATGCTGGGGACCCACGCCGTCTGCAGGCTGACCATGGGCTCAGACGCAAAACTCACGGTCGAAACAATCAAACAAGAAACAACACTATCTCCCCCTCCTCCTCCCCGTCTGCTCACTCTGGCAGCCTGCAGTGTTCGTTCCCTGTTAGACAATCCGAGGAGCAACCCACCAGAACGGAGGACGGCGCTAGTGGCTCAGGAACTGGCGCGCTACAAGACGGACGTCGCTGCACTCAGCAAGACCCGGCTCTCCGAATAAGGCCAACTGGAGGCGGTTGGTGCCGGCTACACCTTCTTCTGGAGCGGTCGTTCTAAGGCAGAGCGACGGGACCCGGGCGTCGCTTTGTCATCCGGAACGACATTGTGGGACGACTGCCCTGTCTGCCACAGGGCATCAACGATCGCCTGGTGAGCCTCCGCCTGCCTCTCTGGGAAGGCGAATTCGCCACCATCATTGGCGTCTACGCTCCCCCGCTGACCAGCCCTGACGATGCAAGGAACAAATTCTACGCAGACCTGCACACACTCCTGGCGACTGCACTGAAGGCGGACAAGTTGATGGCACTTGGTGACTTCAACGCCCGCGTCGGCACAGGCCATAATGCCTGGAGAGGAGTGCTGGGTTTCCATGGTCTCGACGGTTGCAATGGCAATGACCTGATCCTCTTACAAACCTGCGCAGAAAACCGGCTCACCCTGACCCACAACCACTTCCGCCTTCCGATGCGAGAAAATGCCACCTGAATGCATCCTCGGTCGCGACGTTGGCACCTGCTGGACTATGTCCTTGTCCGGAGGCGAGATCAGCGGGCCGACGGGTTGACTGACCATCGCCTTGTCATCTCTAAGATGCGGATTCGTCTAGTCTCGCAAGAGACCTCAGGGTAAACGATCCCCGGGTAAGCTAAATATTGCTTCGTCGTCTTTTTCTGACCACCATCTCCATTTCAACAACCAGCTAGCTCAACGGCTAGGCAACTTTCCAGTCGCCGCTGCGGCCGCCGCCGCCGCCGCTGACGAGAACGTCACCGTGAAGAACCGATATTGTCAACTGCGAGACACAGTCCAGTCGACGGTCCTGGCTGTCCTCGGTCACGCAAGACGGCAACATCCGGACTGGTTTCATGACGACGTCGCCATCAGCAGCCTGCTCGCAGAGAAAAATCGCCTTCACAAAGCCTACGTCACCCGTCCCACCGACGACAACAAAGCAGCCTTATACCATAGTCGCCGCGTAAAGCAACAGCGGCTGCGGGAAATGCAGGACGGCTCGCAAAGCCGAGAAGATCCAAGGTTACGCGGACAGCAACTCATGGAAGAATTTCTTCGTCTCGATCATGGCTGTCTACGGTCCGCCGACCGAAGGAATTGCTCTTTTTTCCGAACCGACAGCAGTACCCGACTCACCGAGAAGTCGCAAGTTCTTCAGCGATGGGCAGTGCACTTCAGAAGCGTCCTCGACCGTACCTCCACAATCTCCGACGCCGCCATTGCCCGTCTGCATCAAGTGGAGACCAACGCCGACCTTGACCTGCTTCCTCTCTCCACGAAACCATCAAGGTCGTGCAGCAGCTCTGCGGCGGGTAAGCGCCCAGATCGGACGTGATTCCTGCGGAGATCTACAAGCAGGGTGGCTCCCAATTCACGAATCATCCTATGGCGCTCTTCCAGAAGATGTGGCGTCAAGGAAAAGTCCCCAGAATTTCAAGGATGCTACAATCGTGCATCTCCATATAGCGGAAAGTTAACCGCCAACTCTGTGACAACCATCGTGGCATCGTCCTGCTGAACATTGTCGGGAAAATATTCGCTAGCATTCTCCTCAACCGTCTGAACCACCACCTGGGACAAGGTCTATTGCAGGAAAAACAGTGCGGCGTCCGCCGTCATCGTGAAACCACAGACATGATTTTCGCCACACGCCAACAGCAAGAAGTGTCAGGAGATGCGGACATACCTCTGTTCAGCCTTCGTAAATCTAGCGAAAGCCTTCGACACGGTGAATTGTGAAGGACTGGGAAATCATGCAGAAATTCAGCAGTCCTAAAAGATTCACTCAGATGGTGCGCCAGCTCCACGATGGCATGATGGAGCGATTCCCGGACAATGGAACCGTATCAGAGGCATTCGCAATGACCAACGGAGTGAAGCAGGGCTGCGTCTTCGCGTCTACTCTCTTCAGCCTCATGATTTCTGCCATACTGATTGACGCCTACCGTGACAAACGTCCTGGAATCCGCATCGCCTACAGGACGGACGGCCAACTCCTCAACAGCCGGCGGATACACTTCCAGTCGCGTGTATCCATAACGAATGTCCATGAGCTTCTCCGCTCAATCATCCCCAACCTGCCCACCCTGCCAGCGGACGTTTCGAGTGCTAATCGGCCTTAAAGAACACCTTCGTACCAACTGCAGCACCCGGACTACATTAGCCGCTGTCTCCCAGTTCAACTCTGTTTCATCCCCTACACCGTCAACTAACACTGACCGCACTACCGAACCCCCACCACCATCTTCATCATCGTCCTCCTTCTCCATTGCCTCAACGTCCGCTGCGGCGGCTCCTGTACCCACCACCACTGCACACACATGGACTCGATTCATACCTGTTCTCAGTGCGACCGCACCTTCACCTCACACATCGGCCAGTTCGGTTACTTGCGAATCTATTGCACAGAAAATGGCGAATCAGTGCCTGGGGCACTAACCTACACTCACCGCATTCACCTCCACTGTCCACACTACCCCCGCACATTCACTTATCGCATAGGTTTATTCGGTCAGATGCGTATCCACGAGAGTGGAATTGACCGCAGTCTGGAAACACCTAGCACCTCTTGCACATCCATCATGCCTGGCTCAACCCACACTCCGCCGTCCAGCACGCCTACCGCCATCAGCTCCACCACACTCAACACATCTTGCACATCCACCATGCCTAGCCGAACCCACACCCCGCCACCCAGCGCGTCCTCTATCAGTAGCCCCACTACTGCCACCATCACCGAAACCGACACTGACACCACCGACTGTTCCTGCTCACACTGTCCCAGTACATTCACATCACACATCGGCCTGGTAGGTCGCTTATGAATCCATCGCGAAGACTGGCGAACCAGTGCCTGAAGCACCCACATACACCCGCCGCATACGCCTCGACTGCACCCACACATTCACCTACCACATGGGCCTATTGGGCCACATGCACATTCACCAAAACCTGCGGGAGACAACCGCCGACTACGTCACACCAACACACCTTCCTCCATCTACATCACACAACACCATCATCCACCACAAGAACCCAATCGCCACCTCCCACGCAAATGGGAAGTGTGCGGCTCGGCTCCATCTCCATGCGGTCCCTACTGCGTGTGTGATTCGAATCCGAGACTATCGCGGCGCTTCAAGCGCTGAGACTTGGAAGGCTGCTGACCGACGTCCCAACTCAGTCCACGCAGTCTGCCCAATTGTGTGCGTGTGTGTATGTGCGGAATGGCGGGCTGAGAGCAAGGCTGAAGCGGCTCCTCTTTAATGCGGCCTACGGCTCTCTCACGAATGCGAGATGTACGCTGCTAAACCCCTGTTGTGTGAAATTTTGGTGCCTGTGTTTGGGGGCCAGGTCGTGCATATGGCGCGCGCAGACAAGGTCATTAGATATGTCAGCCACCGCACCCATTCCCCACACCTGTCAAGTAACCGGCTCGGACAGTGATTGCGGCCTGGGAATGGGAAAAGAGAGTGAGGTCGACGACTCAGCGCACTTTCCTCACTATAAACAATCTGATGCGCTTGAAGCTATCACGGGGCATTAAAAGCCGTGACTTGGAAGGTTGCCCACAGACATCGCAGTCGGCTCAGTGTTGTGTTTATGTGGAGTGGCCGGCTGGTGGTCCAGAGCCGGCCGACTGGTGGTGGAGCGCCAAGGTGCGAGCTCGACCGTGCCATCCACCTGCGCCCTCTCCCGCATCCGGCCTTCTTGACTATGTCTTGACACCGGGCCCAGGTGGGGGAGGAGGAGTGTGGTAGATGCAGCGCAGGTCTACATTCACTATGAACTAAATCACCCGCAAGTCAAGGTGTCTGCTCAACCTTGCCTTGGAGCAAACGGTGGACATCGTCGGCAACGACAGTCGAACAATCGCCAAGTTAGCAAGTGTGGATTCACCTTGTGCAACATTATGGCAACAAAAAGCACGAGCGTGAGGTCGAAGGTGAGATCAAAGGCGGCACCAATGGCGACTCCGTCTGCGATCGAATGGACCACAAGACCAAGAGTAGTCGTGAAGGCGGAATGCTCGGCCCGAGCAAGATCGCTAACATCTGATGGACCTGAAAACAAAGGTAAGAATAAAGAAAAATTAGTGCTTCCGATAAAAGTTACTAGGTAAACCAATAAAATTACGCGCGGCAAAACTAGTAGCAGAGCTCATTCAACATATGTACACGCATACACCATTTGCATGCATAAAATGAAGTCTGGTGAATAGATAAGGGGCTAGAAAGACATTATCGATACAAATATTTTCAGCACACGCACCGGAAGGGGAAAATATGAATCCTGGGAGAATAGTCCGTTCCCTGACTCCTGGTTATATTGAAGTGATTCTTGGAGATAATAGACCGGGAAAATGCAGGTCTTATAGGTCTTTCTTGGCGCCCAGTAGTTCGCCCTTCTTGGGTACCGAGGTGGTGGCGAGTGGGTGCATACGCCAAGGGTAGGTCGTCTCGGCGATTTACTTAGGGGAAATTAGACTGAGTGGCCCCAAATACTCCCCCCCTTCGTTAAAGTTTTGACTTACGCAACTATTTGTAAACTATTGACAGTCCAGTAGTGGCAGACTCCGAAGCCCTGAATTTTGACGTGTCAACGCGGATAATTGTGCTTCGTCACTAGTTCATGTTTGCGCAGTCAGTAGTTCGCAAGCCATGTCGAAAAATGCACAATTAACACGGGAAACAGGTACTGAAAAATTTACGGTTAACACACAATCCTAGGGCTGGATGTAGATTGTGGTCTCCGGGTGGTTAGGCAGTCCACGTACAGTAGGTGGGCTAACTCATGAAATGTTGACCGAAATTTCAAAATGCGTTTTCGTTACGATAAGATTAATTAAGTGGAGTTTTAAAACTACTCATCACGCAGCGTAATTCTGTAAAAATTCAGTTACCTCAGGCTGCCGACTTTTGAACGTACTTCCTTCCGGCTGCATGCAACAACTATACTCTGCAAAAAATGACTACTTAAGTAGCATGCATTTTTCTCATCGATTTTCGATGTCCTTAAAGATTCAATTATATTTCCTGGAAAACATGCATAAAAATATTCATTCTTTCACTCATTCGTTAGAAAATGACGCCTTATTCCAATTTTATACTCAAAGGGAAGATATAACTTGGTTATGAAAGTTTCTAATTGTGAGATTTTTTAAATACCGCGAAATGGCCGTTCATAAAACGTTATGTCTCTGGATTTATCCATGTGGCTTGTAAAGTTAACAATATGGCTCAAATCCACTGCTAAAATTTATGAACCCCATATAATCTCCTCTTAACACTTTAGAAAAATGTATGGTTTACCGTACGTGGAAAATAAACGGCTTGTAGTTTGGAAACCCTGAATGCAAGTGTAACGGCAGGTCGGGTTCAAAACTACACGGGAATTGGGAAAGTTTTTGAAAACCGAATTATACCTTTCGCTTGAGTATAAAATTAGAAGACGTCATTTTCTAACGAAGGTTCAAAAGGATTATTATTTTAATGCATGTTTTCCATGAAATATGATTGAATTTTTAAGGGCATTGGAAATCAATGAGAAAAATGCACGCTACTTAAGTAGGCTTTTTTGCAGAAACGTTTTTGCATGCAGCCGGAAAGCAGTTCGTTCGAAGGCCGGCATCCTGAGGTAACTGAATTATTACAGAATTACGCTGCGTGATGATTAATTTTAAAACGCTACTTAAGCAGTCTTTTGGAAACAAAAACGCATTTCGAAATTTTGGTCGACATTTCATGAGTTAGCCCACCTACTGTATGTGCTCACTGGTTTGTGGAAAGTCTGTGCAGTTAGGTGGCAAACTAATGGCTCCCGACTTCATTTGCAGCTAATTCTCAAAGCTTGTGTTGTTCCAATTCAGGCGTCAACTGGTGGGGAAATGGCGCCTCTGGACCTCCATGGTCGAGGTAGGGATCTTTGTTCATGCATGCATGGCTGTTTGACCGTCGTTTCGTACGGCTTCCACCGCGTGCCCCACAAAAAAATGACAGCGAGGACAGTGACTTTCGCGTCAATTCGTCTACAGTGACGGTAGACTTGCGCAGTACCTACCACACCCTCTCCTTCTCTACCTGAGACAGACGTCATGACAGAGCTAAGAAGACCACAGTCAGCAGAGGGCGCAGGTGGATGACATGGCGAAAACTCACACCATAGTGCATACCACCACACCAACTGGGATCGAACTGAATGGGAGTGACCTAGAGGCCACATTTAGCAGGAGCCATTGCAGCCTGACTCGCAGTCCAGCAGTCGGCGACTTCACACAAACACACGCCGGGCTGACTGCGAGGTCTACGTTATCCTGCCAGCTGGCAGCCTTCCAAGCCACGGCTTTTAGCTCACCGTGATAGATTCAGGTACGTCCGGTTGTTGATGGTGAGGAATATGCACTGAGACCGTCAACCTCACTCCATTAGGCTGTCCGAACCGGCCTGATGCGAGGAATGGCATACATACGTAAATCGTGAACGACTTGAATGGTTGTTTTTTCTCCTCTGTAGAGCAGCTCATCAAAACCTTTCCCACAGCGCACCGTGCATTATATGAAGGGCGAACGCCTGGTAGTCGGAGACTGTGACGTGCGGCGAGAACTTCGAATCCAAGTCGCTCGTCGAATGTGTGTAAGGCCCCCAGCCGCGCGCTATTCAGGGGTAAACCTAGACGAACTTTTGTTTTCCGATTGACCTCCATATAATTTATGATATGAATGCTTTCTATCACAGGGATTCTATTACGCAGGAGACGTAAGACGAAGATAAGGAATTAGAAATTTTGAATAAGAACAAATGGCAATAGGTGAATTAATGCAGTTAAGGAACTAATCCTACGTGAAGCGTGAAAGTCAGAAAAACACGGTGAGCGAATTCGGGAAACAGTAACTGAAATTCTGAAACCTGATTTCGGTGGGAAAGAATTCAGGTTGCAATACTGACTGGTATGGGACATAGCCTCAGGTTACTTCAAACACGCCAAGGCGGCGGCTTTTCGATGGTCACCTTCCTCGTCATCTGCCAAAATTACGCTCACTAGAATGACCACTGAAACAGCGCTTTTCTTTTCTATTCATTTCTCATGACAGAAACTACATTTAGAAATCTCAGTCCATGTCTCATAAACTTGGCTACCTATCTTATGTTCCCCTTAAAATACATTATCTAACAATGTAAAGCAGAGACGTGACTAATTATTCTGATGGGAATTGAGGCTGTCGGCCGAATTAACAAGTCATAAGGTGACTGCGGCTGGAGAATTACGTCGTAATTTGTAGTAGAAAAATGCCCACACAGGGCAGGATAGGTATCTAAGAAATCTGCTTATTGTGTTCGGAGAACAGTTAGAGCTTAATTTAATTTGACTTCCACAGTAGTACTGGTAGGCATGTAGAAAAACTACTGGCGCTTTGGAGAGAAGACTGGATGATTTGCAGTTTCAGAGTAATAAGCATTAAATCTCCTAAATACTTCCCTACATGGAAGAGTAAAAGTATGAACTTTTAACAAAATTGCCCAGGACTTCACATATCCCAACCGGGGCGTAAAAATAACAGATAAGCTGTCCTATTGTAGAAAATAGAAAGCACGGCCAACAGACCGCGGCAACATGTCTTGAATGGCCTCCTGATAACTTAGTCCGGAATAAAAATCGAAAACGACGATGTGAAACATCTCGTCGATTTCAGTGCGGGCTAGCGGGTACATGAAATAGCAATACTGTAGGGTTCAAATTCGAAAGCTTGAGACCAAGCGTTCAAGGGCGAAACAACCTTCAAAGGTGATGAGCGCTCATATGGCCCAGCAGAACATGAGAATAAGAATGTCCCGTAATACAAGTGGCTTTGCGCTAAATTCCGGCGAAGTCATCGGTTGGGGCAAGATTGGCGTTGGAGTTAGGCTTAGGGCTATGACACGGAAATAGGTACCCGTCATGGAAATTACCGCACGGCCATCTGTATTAGCGGAGGGAGGCGTTCTTGTTCCCGTATCCTGCAATCCTCGTCCTTTCAAAACGTGGCAAAATTCCCACTTTTTCAGCAGGTGGGTAGTAAAGTGTGGACAGCCGCATAAAGATAGGACCTAAGTCAGTCAACCGGGACAAAGGAACCCAAGCGCGAGCTGTATAGAAAAGGAGATGGCCTAACTTTCAGGCAATCAGATGCAACAGACCAGCTTTGCTTTTCAGCGCTACGGTATGCATAAAATGCTAGGTCGCCAATTAAAAAGATGCAGAGGTTTCATCGGCAGTAGTTGACCGAGGATTAAGTTTTGGTCCAACAAACGGATCACACCGTGTGAAGTACGCTTTCAAGAATAAAGTCATATAGAAATGAGGGTCTCTTCTTAAGACGAAAACTACTTCTGGTGAGAAACTGAAACTAACAATCGTAAAGACTTAACACAAAAGCATAAACTGAAGACTGATCAAGTGCCCTCCACGGCGACATTGGTCTTCACAAACTGGGCAAGGCAACGACAAGTAAAAATGAACATTGCACGAGCTTGGCTGATGTGCCCAAACCAAACGATCAACAACCGAAGTACAGCTCGGAACAGGCAGCGTCTACCAAAAGGGTAGTGACGGGTGCTCTACGCATACTATGCCGGTGCTGCGGGGCGCTCAGTAAAGAATCAAGAGCATCTACGCCTAAGGTAGAAATCTCGCTGGTTGGACAACGGACGCGGAACTGACTAAGACGGAGTGAGGGGATGAGGTTGATGTCATAAATGTAGGTTTTCGGGGATTTTGAAGGGGGGTTAAAACGAGCAAAACACTTGCCATGAAAGCGTTCGAAACTATCATGTGGGCAGCAGGGAAGCCGTCCGAAGCAGGTCCGGCAGCAGACAGTACACGGGTCAAGGCATTTACCGCCCACCTGGTCCACGAGGAACATCAGCACAAAACCCAGTGTCAGAGCGACACCAATGAGGTTGTGCGTCTTACCAGGGCCGTTTACATGATTACCGTGTTCGTGTGCTCCTACGGGGCCGACGTCAGCTTTGGCTGCAAATGGCACGCGAGCATTTTCGACGCCGGCTTCAGCCAGCACAGCTTGAAGCGCCCGCTCTCCAAGGTGCTTTTTGTTGGCCTCCGCTTCGGGAGCACCTGCATTCACAGAGGGTTTGAGCACCGGGGGAGCTGGCTGATGAAAAGAAACGAGAATACTAAATTACCGCAGTCTCATGTGATTCATCAGAAAAACCATAACACACGTTTAAAAGGCTGAAAAAAGGATCGAAAAGGGGAGACATAACGAAAGTTGACCTAAGTGACACAGCACTAAGACGGCATCCTACAACAGTTGCTGTCAACAAAACAGCCCGAAAAGCTTTGTGTGATCCCGACGGGCAAGTAGAAAACACCATGTAACACGCAAAGTCATCACCCGCAAGCAGACGCGAGAGGGGCGACTAGCAGTAATATGACACTTGTAGAAAAGGAGTTAGTCTAATAACACGCTGCCTACGTTTAGACTGAAAAGCTAACAACAGCTAACTAAACGCATCCACAGCCCTGTAAAAATTTCAAAAAGTAGCGTATTGTGGGCTACCGTACCGCACAAATGACTACGATGGGAGAGGACGAAAACAAGAAGGACTGAATCGTGCGATACGCCTGGCAAGGTAGCGGCACACTAAGCGTTTTAACCAGAAACCTAATAAAGACAACAAAACTCTCGAGCAAAACATAAACCAGAAGCTCGCCTGTGAAGATGAAGCAAAAGTATATAACTAGGCGATCGATAGTGGAATGTGTGTAAAGTGCGATGGATTAATTAAAAAATCACATTTAAGTTTGCTGTAGCGCAAGAAGAATCTTTAAAAACCCGAACCTTGTGAATAGTCCTGACTGAAGCTTAACCGTGACACAACAATAATAAGCATCCTTAGGGGAAGTGAAGAAGCAAAAATATAATTGTTTGAAAGTTTCCCTTACCATGTCCCTCTACGGCTGTCCTTTAGGACGAATAAGGAGCATTGAGACATAATGTAGGATTCCAAAATACAATTTGACAGGTTTATTTTCAGGAGTGACGAACCTGCTCCACGACTTCGCGTGGGTTTCCGTCCGCATGACCCTGTAGACTAAGGATGGTAGTAACGCCTTCCGGAATTATAATTGCCAGAGCCGCACCAACAAGAAGTCCAGCACCAAACATGGTAACCAGGCGCAGTCTTTGCTAAAAAAGCAGAGCGGATAAGAGAATAATGGACCTAGTACGTGGATTCTGGGACCTGGTAAACCTTAATTCATCTCAGATGGTCCTGGGAAGAGGGCCCACCTGCTGGCTACTGAGCACATCGATGGGCGGCGGACAATGGAAAGGACATCAGCGAAAGCCGAGTAGAAAATAGGCAGGAATGGATATGGTCGCATGATGAGAACTAGAACTACACTGGCAATGCGAAGCCTACCCATGTGAGCTATAAGCGTTGAAATAAGACCTTGCTCTTCTCTCTGAGAAACGCTTGCCAGCCCATAAGTTGCGCAGTACTAAGGTGCCAGGTGTCGAGAACTCTGATAGGACTGGTGTTGCAATCGTCCTGAGTGATCGGGCCAAAGATTTAGTTGTGTGCTGAGACCCAGTGTCCTTAAGGATTACAGTTGTTCACCACTAAGACAATTCTTGCAAGGCCACAGTTCTTGAGGTTCGCATTGTTGATGATACGCAGAAAGAAACTTTCGGCGTCAAGTTACAGACCGTAGTGATGCGTGCGTTGATATGCGGCTTTGTCCTTGCAGGTGGCCGCAATATCACTATAAGAAGTTCCATGCACTAAAGAGGCAAATACTTGGCCACTACGAAGTTAGAAACAGCTGTGAGAATAGCAAAAGGCGTGCCTATTTGACTGCGCAGGACGCAGTCGCGTAAGTGACAAGACCCCAAACCGAATGGATTAAGTGTCTAAGCAGGTCTGACGAATTTGGTACTGGACTCCTGTGACTTGCCTGGCGCCGGCGGTGAGAATGCTCCTCAGCATGCTAATGTGGTGATCAAGCACAGCGCACAGCTGCATGTTAAGGAAAGGGTACGACCCACGATGAATTACTTTGATGACCATTTCAAGGGTCTTGCCACTGCCTCCAACTTCCATCAGGCTGTATCCAAACGCCCGCCACACTAACGAAGACGATGGTGGTCTCTTCAGCCGAAAAATGGCGCAAATGGAGGCCTTTTCTCAAGAGTAGCTGTCAAGAGGAGTGAGGCCATGACAGGAGCTCTCGCGTAACTGTAGTCACTGGTGAGACGATGTGACTGGCTGGTGGTGAAAGAATTGATTGACTTTACAATAACCAGAATTCCCGAGACTTGATTTGTGAGGTCGCGGGGTCTGCATGGCATGACCACAGCAAATGCTGCAGTACCATTAGCCAAAACCAGGAAGGCCTTTGTCTAGCTATTATATCAAGAGGCTGTGTCGTCGTTAGAAGATGAACCAGTCCCATAAAATGGTTATGTTAACGCCCAGGGACAAAAGAGATGCGATGGCAGACGACAGGCCAGCGGAAGATGTGACCTAGCTTCTGAATTCAACAGGCTTGGCTTCTCAGCTATTCAATCTAAATACGGCCGGAGCCCGGGCATAGCTGTGATAACAGCCCATTACCTACCGAGGGCGACTTTACGCTGATGGCGGAACTGACAAAGGAATCGTTTGGCGAGACGGTCTTCCAACGAGAAGCGAAACCCCGACAATGCAGTGATAGATGCGAGATAACGCAGCCCCTGATGCAATTTCGGGCGAGGGTGGTATGCATAAACTGGAGCGACGACGCCATTGCACCAATCTTTAAAAAGGTGAAAGAATACTGCGCAAAGACTAACGTGGCACACGTCTTCTCGACATTGATGCTTAAGTCTTCCAAATCGCCCTTGTCAATTGCATCCTCTCCCACTGAAGAGTTCGAAAAATAAATGAGCAATGCAGCGATTGAAGAGGACAGGAATGTGTTGATCTGTACTTCTCGCTTCACCGAACACTTGGCTCTACAGTTAATATCAGCAGCTCGCTGTCTACCTTTTTCGTGGATTTCCCGCCTGAGCTTGACCTCACCGAATCCTGGTCGACTGCGTTAGATGGTGGCGAGAGACCATAATCACATTGATTGGCTTCGGTCAACTACCACAGAAAAAGGACAAAAGTTCGTGCAAATGATAAGATTAATATCTCTGACAACACCTCCAATCCTCGTCAAGCCTATAATCTTTAATCAAATCTGCTTGTCTGTGTGCTGACTAGATTCGTTAGAACGCGTCTGCAGGCCATTCCAGGGTTAATGTACATCTTTGTCCGGGTACTAAGAATCTAGGTTATGCCGGCGACGTGATACTAGAGCCTCCAAGGTCCCAGATGAGAAACGAAGAGAACACCTGTCAATGTTTTCTCTTTTCATAATTAGAAAAAGGATGAAAGAATTCGACCTCCATCAGAAAAACGCAATTTACGTCTGTGATGAGGTACTATTTTAAGACAAGCCTCCGAGGTCGGCCCAGGTGGTTATGTGAGAAGAATTTCCCGTAGAAGCACAGTGTATGGAGACCAACTTGCAAGAACTCTCGACGCCTGATGGTCTGGATAGCCATCAAATTCGAGGAGCGGCCAATATGGCGTTCAACAGAGGAGACGATAATTAGCGAGGTGTACACCGACATCGTAAAATATGCTTTCGGTTACAACGGCATTCATCGACACCGAGTGAACATTATAGTGTTATGGGATAATGCCCCTGCTCACCGCTCAAAGGAGGCATGATTCCAATTCAGCTTACGATTATAGTCTAATGTTTTAGACTACGACCAACTTCTCTGCCTGCGACTCGCAAAGTATTTTTATGTCCGTCAATGGCCGGGACCTGAATCCAATCGAAGATTTTTTGCATCAGTCAAAAGGAATTAGGGCAGAGCAAAAAAAGCATCTTTCAATACAGCGGAAATTGGACTTTGAGCTTAATAATTGTATACGCCAAACCACCATAAATAACTTAGTAGTCTATATGCCCTCCCGGCTTAAATCAACTTTAAAAGCCGAAGGACAATCAAAAAAGTACTTATACGTTGTATTTGTCAATGTTTTTCATCACTTTGTTGTTGTACGGCATTTTCTTCTCTGCTGGCAGTTATATTAGACCTTAAGTAATTGACCTGTCATAAAGTCGTTCTTTGATTTGGTGGTTCTTCGTAAATCAATTACTCTTCAGCTAATAAATAATACTGTATAAAGCAAACTGTGCCTTGTTTTGAAACTCGGTGGTATCTTTAACGTAGTATAACTTTCGTGGATGCGGGGTGGGGCGGTTGGTATGCTACAGCGATTTTATTTCGCAGTTCGCGACCTTTCATGAGATGGAGCACGACTTGTAGGGCTGGCGCCAGAAGACAGTGTGAAAGGATAAGGAAAGAAAATCGCTGACAAAGCCTACCAGTATAGAACGTGCTCATTTGCGCACTGATAACCACAGGCTAAGCACGTATAAATCCGGCTCGCATCTCCTGCCGTCTATGTGGCTATATCGTTTGACTGCCTTGAAACATTTTGATGAGCTGCCAGTTTAAAATATCTAATTAACTGCTGGTCCACTATGCATTCCAATATGGTTGTCACAGCACCGTACTCAGCTTCGTGCACAGAAATCTCTGGATAGGTGCCGGACTTAAAAACTGCGGAAGCACAGAGGGTAAAATGACAATACAGCTACAAGGAACTTAGCTGAAGTCTTAGTGCAAAACCGTCAACTATTTAGACCTCAAACGAATAAGCCAATGCTAGCAATTGGACGAGTTTGAAAGTTTTCCAATCCAATATGGTAAACTGTCTCTGACATAAAAACCGGGCAGACCCAAACCGCTCCCGACTAATTTCACGTTCTCAGTTTTTAAACCCGTACTATTTGTTTAACCCGAGTTCAGCCCACGCAGACAAAACTGACGGTTTCCGACCTTGAAAAGTATTGAGCTCGGGAAAAAAGGCCATAAAGACTTTCGGCTAGTGACTACCTATGAATCGATCTATAGAACGGACGTCGGCTCACGTCAGAGTGGTCCACAGGATCGCACAGTTTTCTCGTGGTTTTTTTTGTAGAACATGGATGTTGGGTGAAAGTCCGCTATGACATGCCATGGACCTTAAGCTCTACTGGATGCAAAGGAAATAAGGCTAAATGGGGATGCGGCGTTCCATAGATAAGATGAAACTTTAAGCGAAAAACGGTGGAGCAGAAGAACCAACTTGATGTGGATCTTCCTTAAATCTCTAAGCGGGAGAATTTATGACAAAACTCAGACCAACATCAGATATGTTAAGGATGCACACATAAGAGGAAAGATGAGGGACGCAACTAGGGAACGCGGACTGTCTGTTGCGATTTCAGACGAGAGAAATGCTGATAAATTGGCACATTTTAGGAAACGCGGTTGACAGAAGGACGTGATGTGTTCTTATGATGCTAAAATTCAGAAATTTTTCATTTGATGCAAATATCGGATGACAAATGTCTGAGGGATTGCGTCTTCCTGACTTAGTACCAGGAGATCACGGAAAGCGATCTTACCATACAGTTTATTTTCCATTGCAAGTTGGATATACGTGAAAGGTGAGGCCGGTCCAACGTTCCCCCAAAAGTAACAAACTGTAATAATCCTCCACCACAACAGCAACTTCTATCTAGCACACAAACGCAGTTCCCTCAAGGCACCTTCGCCTGATCGGTACATAATGTAGCACATATGATCGGAAGCTGAGAGGGCATAGGATCCAGTGGCTCATTACCGTGGACAAGTGCTTGTGCCGAAGTCATGAAAAGACTGACTGAAGTAAATCTTAAGTCAGGCATCTTCCGTAACTTGCCCTTAATCAGTGACGTGATTGAAGCTACTTAAAACATACCGGCGCCGAACGATTATGAGCTTATATAATGGTCCAGGATAACGATTCGTAACCTACTTAATGGGTTCAACGATCGGCTGCTGACAAAATACATACCGACTATCATTTACAACGTAAAACTCCCACCAAATTGTTGCGGTGGCCTAATGGCAGATGGCGACGCGAATACGTGGCATGGGATAGCAGTGTAAAAAAGGGATAAGTGCTAACAGGTCATGCAAACCTTGAAATGGTCATTTACTTGCCCCGATAGTGCACACTCGAACGATATGAAAGCAAAACACCCAAAAATAGCCAAGGTCCCATAATCTGACACCAACTCGTTCAATCTACGAGTTGGTCTATTACCGGTCAATGGCGCTGTCTGCCAGCAGTTTAACTAGGGAGAACAGCAAATGAGACACAAATCGGAAGGATCCCCTAAGGTCAGCCTGACTGACCTATATGAAACGCATAGATTTGTCGGTCATTTGTCGCCAAAGGTGCGCTAAACTGTGGGCGCAAAACGTCATGGGATGTTTCCTGATACCGACTCCCCTTCCTCCTCCTCTCTCTACTCTTGAGATCAGCAATCTCTCAGACAGCCGCGGTGACAAAAATCATGACACAGTGGTGACTGCTGGTTCCGGTTTGTTGATGCATTAAATCGGCCATCTAAAACGCCCATAGATACCTGCAACTCGAAGACAAACCCGCATACACGAACCTAACAAGTGTTTGAAGACCATGTCTAACGTTCAAGCCATTAGCACCGTGGAAATAACGTTAGCCTGCTATTTGCTTCCTGTATCTCCATGAGACCAAACAAATAAATGTTCGCCACTTCTGTATCAGAAAAATAAGCAACTTGCCTTGACAGTTAGTGAGAGACGGTAATATGTTGGCTGAAATTTCATAGATTACGTCAAGTCACCTGTCTACATAGATGACTAATGAACAGGCGGCTTCAATTAAAGTAGAGGGGTGCGACCCAAAGATTCGAGAACGGTCTTGAAAACTACTGACGTCCACACAGCCTGGTAATATTGTACAAGCCTCTGACTGAATCCGCACCAGCAGCTTAGAATGTAATATTCAGGTTCGACTTGTGATTTGATTAGGTGAGTGGGTATAGCCGGCGCATGTGTATGGCAGTAGGGCCGAGTTAATTAGGTAACTCGGCCTTACTGCCACACATATGTCCCGGAAGCCAATCGCACAAGGTAACCGCTGGGGGACTGCAATTGCAGAGATTACTGACGAGAGTCAACTGCCAATAAAACTAGCCGCACCGGCTAGCCCTGAACGACAGTGGTGTTAGCAGTGCATGAACATTTGTAAAATAGCATGGCACAAGAACGAATCACGATGATGTGTAAGGCTAGACCACAAAATGAGGAAGATTGACGTACTGGATTCACTGACATTGATAGTGGTAAATACCCTGCGAGGTAACATCCCAAAAACATTAAAACACACAGGAAGATGAGCCCAATCATGAGTGCGCAAGTGTGCTAAGACAATTTACTGGCGTATAGGCTAAGTCAAGGTCGAAGTAGCATAGAAAAACAACTACGCAGGGACAACTGTAATTATTCACTTTCCGACTTAAAAGCGCTCATAAATGTATTAACTTTCTTCATTTTGCGTTTTGTCTGTGTGGAAACTTATCGTCTCATTTCATAAACCATATGCTCTGGTTAGAAATTAGACCTCAAGGATGGTCAACTTGAAACAATTTATGTCGGGCTATTGACGTTATAATGTTTTTTGAGTTTCCTATTCGTTTTCGGATGAGTAAAAAAATTAATCCCAATTCCCGAAAGTGCGAAATCGTCGATATATGTGAGCCAGTTGAAGACCATCGTCAAAGACAAAATCGAAATAATTTAAGCAACCTTTACTCACCAAATGAGTACCAAATCTACATTTGATAGTCCTAACAATGTCTGCAAGCACTATCGCAACAAAATATCTATTTCAGACTCTAAGGGTTCACTGCGAAAAGGCGTTCCATCGGACGTCCTTATGGGCCAACTTCCTCCGCAATATAAGGGGGGCGAATACTAAGCCGTTCCGTTATAGCCACTTTACCCTAGTAGCAAGCGTATATCGCCCCGATGGCGGGAAGATAGGGGCTTTTCGATATATGTATATCGAGTGGAAAGCGCTTTTGTCCGGTGGCTGTATATCGAGTAGATATCGAATATTCGATTTACCCGAAAAACGACGGTATCAGCACGGACAGAAATTTACGCGACCCCTTTTCCCACGGAAATACCTCCGTTTTATACCAAATCGACCTATATTGTTACTGTCTGCCCTGCGTCTCCTCCTAAATCATCTACTGTAGTCTTAATTAAGAGGAATAACCTATAAAAATTCGCAAAGTACCCATAACGATCCGAAGTCGTATGAATTGGTAGGTGTATATTTAGAAAAATAAAAAATAAATATGTGCATTAGTATTTGAACTTTCATTGCTCTGTATTTGGGCTATCCGCCATTTAATTTGTCCAGCTTCCTGCTGAAGATCGCGGTGTTGGATCGACATTAAAGAGTAGTGTTTAATTGGTAATGGAGGAACACTTACCGCTGGCCTGGGTGTCGTTGCTATTCTCTTGCATTTTTTGACAGACCATCCAGTGCTCGTTTAAGTCGTTTTGTGACGGACACCTCCACATCGGAAAGGGTTACCTTACCGTCTCCATTACAAATGCCAAAGACCTCTGTGGATAGAGCAGTGATCAATAATTTGTGAGAACGTACCCTTGATGACTCCGTACGTTGCCAAATCGGATAGTCCCTCTTTATTTTCCGCCCTTTGAAGTTTACGTGGAGACTGATGTCATCCACGAATAGGGCATAGAACACTCTTTCTGTGAGGTCATCCAGAGAACAGCCGCCAAGGCAGGCCAGGTAGGAAACCTAATAAACATATTAGTGGAATTTGCCCGCATTTACCACTTGACTGCGAACTTCACTTCCCGCAAGTCTCGCGTTTAGTGCACGGAAATCCGCCACTGTTGTTAAAAGGCGACATACGGGATAGATGGGCGGCCTAGTGGCAACCTTGGTATTGGTAGTCGGCCGCCGAGTAACAGCTGACTCCAAGTCCCGTTGACCGCTCACCAGACGCCGGATACCTTCTAAGATTAGATCGTGTTTTCGCGACATCCGTGTCAAATGTTGGAACATTACTTCAACGGTGTGCTCAAGGTCAGCCATACGATCACTTAGTGATGGTTCATGCCGGACCACGGATAACGTATAATTTGCATTAAGTCTTACTTTCGGTGATGGTGTCCTCTGCGCGAGGAAGTGGGTCGAAAGAATTATCTCCGTCACCACCGGGCTCAGAGGTTTCTAAATTTTTAATGTCAATTTTATTGTTTCTTACTAGCGAGGATAGGCCTTCACCGCTTAAATAATCGAGAGCCCTGGTGATAGCTGGGCATCGAGGGCGTTGCGAAGTTCTTCTCTCGGGTAGTCCACTCATGCTTTTCTCTGCATACACACATGAAAAATGGCGTTAGACGTTGCATTACGTAATTAACGGCATTATAGCTAACTACCACTTTTTCCCTGCAATGCCCATAAACTCCTAACTAAGGGGTTGTGCGTTTGTAGGGTTTACGAGCACTGTACGCGAACGCGAAGGAACAGTAAGTGGTCTTCTATGACGTGTTAATTATTTCAATTAAAATAAAACTTGTCTCCTGTTCAACGCATCCGTACTTCGTAAAAGTCTTCTGTAAAGGAACACACTGGAGAGTTGTATCCATGCTCGCCTTATATACTTTTAAAAGTGATGACTGCCTAGGGTAGTCGATATCATCAATTATGCTTGTAAACTCACATAAAACTATGCTCAGACAACCCATTTCATCTGACAGTATGTTCTTCACACATACTATCTTTACGCCTACACCAATACATCTATTCACGGGCGAGGTGTCAATGCGAAAACGTCCGGTGATAGCGCACTCATATTGAGTGTAGCCTTCATAACCAGCTTATAGTGGTCCTAGGTTATGCCCACGTAGGGGTCTCGGTAAATAAGCCTTGACTGGAACGCTTGTAGCTACCTCAACCTCACTAAAACGTCTAGCTATCTGCTGAGGAGGTCGCGAAGGGCTCCTCAGCAATTTCTTTAATCTGCCGAGATAACTTTCAAATGGGAATGTTGAAAAATAATCAAGTAGACCATGTAGCTCCACTTCGTCGGCAACGTGTATAAGACTGTGTACATTATAGAGTGCATGCTCCTCTCCGTATAAAGCGGGGAATTTTCTGGTAAAACATTTGAGCAACTGCTTACAGTAAACTATGTTACCTTTGCAGATGCTCGGACAGGCTAGTAATATCACAGCAGTAAATAGAATTAAGTAAAGTAAAAAATGACTTTGAGACAGTGCTTCGGGGAGGAAAAAGACGCCAACGTATAAGACGAACGGTCTAAACTCGGTGGCCTTCCATGACTTAAATTCACTTTACCGTCTAGCACGTTGGGAAACTTCGGCTGGTAGGTATGCATTTATGGAGCGCATGCGGTTGTCAATAGATTCCACATCCCCAGGCTTTAACAAAGATGGCGTTGTGCGTCCGCTGACTTTGGAATGGTGATTTCTTACCCATAAGTTAAGCAATCTCCTCACTAGTTCTAAGTATAGAAGATGAAGGGGATCCAGAGGAAGTTTTGAAATTAGACCCGAATTGCAACTTTAAAATGGGGATATCCCTACCCTGTGCTCGTCGTCAACAGACTGCAGGAAGTCTGAGTCCCTCCTTTCTCTCTCCCCTTCCTCTAAGTAGACTACTTTTTCTATGTATGATCCTATCACGGTGCGGCGTCCGCATCCGTGAAAGGCGTCCACATTCTTAATTTGTTTCATGAATGCTCCAGCAGGCCGTCACAGATCACTTTCTCGACCACAGAGCGTGTTGAATGTCCGTCCTTTACGCACAATCCCCTTTTCTGTAGACATTGTATCTCCTTAACGAGTGAACTACTGAAAATGTGGACGTTGGACGGTTTGCCATTACCGTAATATATCCCTACTGGAAAGATGTCACTGAGGAAGGAGCGCACTATTCTTCCCAATATCGGCTACATTTCGACTTTGGATTTCCTACAAACTGGGAGACCGTCGATTGCCAGGTAGATTACCACCTTTGGTGTGTGGACGGTCATCTGGCTGCACAGTGTGCAAAGTTGTCGTTCCAAACCTACATGGACGTATTTGGAACTACTTCCAAATCGTACGACGCCCCCAGCAAAGTTCTTGGATCAGCTGGAAGTTGTGGCACGACCGGTCAAAAATATTTAATATTTCTCGCAGATGAGAGGGTGCTACTTTATTTCGCACGGCTCAAGCGCGCACTTTACTGACGTATACATTACCGACGTCAGTGATTACTGTGCTGTCAGTTTCAGTGTTTTCCTGGGGGTCGTTGTAGTCGCGTAGTACTTCGATTACCGGCGTTGAAGTCTATCCATGCTGTTCCATCGATTCATGTGCAACAAAACAAACGCGTACAGTAGTTTATTGCGATATTTACAATCGACCGCCGTTTTCGCACGGTTTCTTCAATTTCTTTAAATATTTCTTCCCCATATCGCTTAATTCGACGTCTCCTTGGTCTCTTGGACTCTTCCTTAAACATAACGACAACAGGATATAGAAAATAAGGAGAAAGATGGCAATAACAACAAGGAGCAAGGACAAGGCAACAGGGTCACGTGCGCCACGCTGTCGTCAAGAGATAATGGCGTGCAAGCGTGAGCGCTCGATTTGGCAACGCGCTAAACGTACGTCAACCAATGCCAGATGAGATTGCGTGGGCGGTTAAACCAATGAGGTTACGAGGAGCGGCTCCACTCGATATACTCTTGCCGCTAGGGTTAATGCAATTCCGGTATGATACCATCTAATTAGGGTGTTGCTGGAGATTTTGCTGACAGAATATACCATACTATGTAAAGTAGTGTCACTGTTAGCAACATTGGTACCAGTATTAATAAACTCTGCGTCGAATACACTGAAATTGGTAGGAGTATTAGTTGTAGTAGTGGTGTATTAACAGTCGCAGTAGTAGTATTACCATTTCCGATATTTAACCACAGCAGCCGTACGAGATTTGCATTTTCCAGACGTATCTGATTTAGTGTTTGGAGTAGTGAACGAACAGGCGCCAGAAGCTGACACGATAGCCAGCATTAATCTAGCAGACCTGGCTGCGGTTGTACTGGTTGTTACTGACGTAGAAGTGCCGGTAGTTACTTTGGCCGCACTACACGCGGAAACAGAAGAATTTAATCTAGTTGCTGTACTATTGGCTGCCGGCAAATTTTTCATTTAAGTATGAGGCATTATTATTATTATTATTATTATTAGTAGTAGTAGTAGTAGTAGTAGTAGCAGTAGTAGTAGTAGTAGTAGTAGTAGTAGTAGTAGTAGTAGTAGTAGTAGTAGTAGTAGTAGTAGTAGTAGTAGTAGTAGTAGTAATGACAGTAGCAATAACGGTATTAGCAGTGACAGTGGTAATAATAGTGGTACTAGTGGCACTGCCAATGGTACGAGTAGAGGTATTAGTAACGGTTGTGGAAGTAGTTTCGCTAACAGTAACAGTATTAGTGGTTTTAGTTGTAGTATCAACAGCAGAATCAACGGTAATTCATTAAGTTGTAATAGTTGAGGCAACAGAAGGGTTAAGCAGTAGTAGTCCTGGCTGTGGAAGTTTTTACATAGCTGCCACATCCGTTATTGCATGTAGTAGTATTGGCAGAAACAGCATTCATAATAGCAGTAGCATTACTCGCGTAGTAGTATCTGAGTTATTGGCCTTACTGTTAGTAGCAACATTAACAGCAGCCACAGTAGTGCTTCTCATTAGTAGTAGCATTGATACTAGCCGAAGTACTAGTTACAGAGCTATTAGTAGCGAAAGTATGTATGTATGTATGTATATTGAAGGGTTACAGGCAGAGCCCTTGATGACCCTATTTATGTACAGTGCTTTCTCAGATTCATACTCAAAAATAAAATAAAATTGCAGGCATTTAAAATGTGATTGGGTCACAGTTCAATCGTAATCATAAGGTAGTGCATGGGGTCACTGTAAATTGGTGCGGAAGATTGTATATGACAGATTTTACAAAACTGGCTGTGCATAGTCATGCTGTACAAGCCGATTTCTGTCGAAAACTAGACGAGCAAGTTTTCTTTTAAACACACAAACTGTGTCAGCCGTCACCATCTCGCTTGGAAGCGAGTTCCACGACCTGACAACCCGCTGGCTGAAAGAAAATTTTCGTCGGTCTAAACGTGTTCGCTCATTCCCGACTTTGAATGCATGGCCGCGTAGTTGGTTTGTACGGGCGAACTCAAAGAAGTCCTCTGCCCTTAATGAGCAACCCTGGCCGCGAACAATCCGGAACGTCCAGAGTAGACTGCAGTTTATTTGTCTATAAGAAAGAGGGAATAGGCCAAGCAAATTTAGCCTCTCCTGATAAGACAAATGCTTTAGACCGTCGACCATCTTTGTCGCTCTGCGTTGCACCTGTTCGAGTAAGTTGATATCCTTCCTCATCCATGGTGAAGCTGCTGGCATTCCATACTCTAGATGAGGTCTTACAAAGACACCAAAGAGTCTTTCGAAGAGTTCAGGAGGAAATATTTTAAATGCACGTCTGATCCAGTGTAGAGTACTAGTTGCCTTCTGGACCATCTTTATGCAGTGTTCTGATGGCGATAGATTTGTGGTCGTCCATACACCCAGATCTCTGTGTCTTTCCACAGTTTCTAACCTCGTCCCGTCAATATAGTACTGGTGTTTGGGAGAGGCATTGCGGCCGGTGTTCAAGTGCAAAACCACGCATTTGGACACGTTAAACTTCAAAAGCCATCTGTTCGACCAAGCACACAGTTTGTTGATGTTCGACTGCAACTTCTCTGCGTCATCATCACACTTGACTTCACTCCATATTTTTATGTCATCCGCGAACATGAGAGCCTCGCAATTCACTTCGCTGATGCAGTCATTAACATAAATCAGGAAGAGTACTGGGCCTAAGACAGAACCCTGTGGGACACCACTTTCCACCTTTACCCATTCCGAGGTAGAATTACTAACGACGACTCTTTGTAGTCTGGAGGACAGAAAACTTCTGATCC